CTTGGGCGGGTGATTTGATGCGTCAACGAAGGGTCTGGAGAGAAGAAAGTCAGCTGTTCCCAATCTTTAAATTATCATTCCATTTTTAACGCTGTTCCCTAGGTTCTGCAGATGATGAACTATCAGGTCGTGCTATCATAACTGATATCGAGGTGATGGCGCACTCCGTCTCACAGTGTAAGCTCTCTAATTCTTGCATTAGTAGCATCTGTATGTTTCACCGGTAAAGGTGATCTGTGTAGTTCTTTTCCTTTGACACCTGATCAAATCAATCATTGGATGTTGTTCTGGTTACGACACCGGAGACCAATTTTCCTACTTTGAACATAGAGTGTAATCAAATTTTACCTTCCCATTCCATAAAGCTCTGCGTTTGATCAAGCATTCAGTGATGTAGGCATTTAAAGTTGACAATGGTGTTGAATGCTGAACACTAGGTACTGACATATCCACCAAAACGCCGAGTCGCTACACTTAAAACTCGTAAAGTTTAATCGGATATCATTTACCAATGATCATTTTGAGTTCATGACTCTATGGGTTGAATGCATATATTTTTTTCTTAATGGCTGAATTCCTTTTTAGCGAAGAATAACATCCTCTTTGTGGGAAGTGCAATCGCAGTGGTCATCCTCAGTCTCATTGCTTCCATCTACTTTGGTCTCCTACCAATCTGAACACTGTCTCCTCTCTCACCTGATTTGACTTCTCCCGTTTTGTAGTCTTGAATTCTCTTTCAAAGCACATCCACCTGCACAACCTGTATACAAGTTTCCACTTTACCTATTCGCATGGTCGTGCTTTTGACAAACTTTCGGAAACTAGTTGTACCTACTTTCAGTTATACTCATTCCCTTTGTCCGCGTTTAACGACGCACTCACGGATAATAAAAACTTATTCGTAGTCAATTCGTATCGCGCTAAATATAAAGTGTGGGAAACGATGCAGGACATATACATTGGAAATGTGGAAGAGGAAATGGTCATGGCAGAAAATTGACCTCACTCTTATTGTTTCTTCTCTTCATCGGCGGTTCGCCCTCGGACTCCAGGGGTTCCATGCTAACCCAAAGCTCGTCCGTCTCCTCGTCTGGTCCTGCCGTGCCTTCTTTGTCTGGCATACTAGAAGCTTCCATGGGGAACTTGGCCGAGTCACGGATAAGGAAGGTGGAGACGGGGGTTTTTGTAAAAATCTAGCATTCGTGAAAAGGCGTATTGAGATTGCGGCAATGAATGCATGTCCTGACGGCTTTGAAAGACAAAAGGAGATATAGGCATGAAATGGTCCGCGGTTTAGCATGCGTTTACACAGCAAAGGGTAGTTACCACGCGTAGTCAACCAGATCAGTATAATCTGCGCGCCAAATTGATACTAAGAAGCACACTTCATCAACAAAGGAATAAATTTGACAATTTTGCTGTTTGTGTTGAGCTGAATACGGTACCCGACACTACCAATCAGCTAAAGAAACTTGCACCGATACGGGATCTAAGTGGATTTAATAATGATGGTTTAGTGTCTAAGAGAGCAGCAAAAGAATCCTTCACGGTTTGACAGTTAGACGCAACCAATAAACATGGGTGAACGCAACTTATAGCACTGTTTTTGAAATAGGCTTCGAAGAAACATTTCCAGATAAACTATGGATTCTGAACGATTGATTCACATGGTTAAAGCGAACTTTCGAAAAAAAACCGGTCATGGAACATACAATAAGCATCCAATAAATAAATGTGTGCCCAGATGTTGGGTGCATACTTTGGCTAAGAGGTCACCGGAATCGCGGTGATAGACGCGGAGGAACCGATCAACAGAAGCGGAGATGACTACAGGCTGATCGTTGATGACAGCACTGGGCATGGCATGCGGTAGGTTTGCACAGCCCGCACCGCCGCAGACCAGTGCCGAGATCGCGCCCGCTGCAGGATGGTAAGCTCTGACGTGCACCGGTGGTGCTGCAGCTCTTGCACCTACAGACCGAGCCTTGCGCCTAGGCTCTGCACCTGACCCGAATACCAAGCTTGAGAAAGGCATGCGGAAATCTAACAGACAAACGTCACCAATCGCGTTGCCAGCAACTGCACGCAAACCGACTCCTGGAGCGGAGGTGAGAGCAACGCAGCTGGTAATGGGACGTGTGACGGTAAGATCTCGAAGCATCGCAGGATACCGACCTGTTCCAACCAATTTTTTGCCTTGTTTTCGGCTCACTCTCCAGGCCGACCTACACACAGGACGTCGTTGACCACTCCGGACATCATAAACACAAAACTGAGGGAATCGTTCAACATAAAATGAGAATTCTTACATCCCCATATCTTGATGACGTCACGAAGAGTCGGTTCTCATAGCCTTCGACAAAGGAGACATCAGAGACCCAGACAGGAACCCGCAGGTCCAAAGTATCTGGTCTAACATTCTTTGCAGAAAACACGGGAACAATGGGCTTTTCCAGATCCCAGAGTGAAAAAAGTACATCTCTTCCACCGCACAACATATGTGTTTGAAAGCTTTTACAAACAGTTAAGTTGCTGGCAACCGAGATATCGTACTAGATCTGGAATCAGAGGTTAGGAATAAACCCATACAGTTAGGGATAGATTTCCAAGATCGATAATGAAAACCTTCCCAGAGGCTTTTCCGACAACCAAAACTCTGTAAAAAAAGATAATTCAAACAAACGTGAATAACCCGTTGACTGCTGAGAGTCCAATTGGAACCGAATGATCTGATTCATAAGGGGGGCATTTGACAGAGAGCGTAGACTCATCACACAATAAAACACCCCGTATTCTAGCCTGTCCAGCGGAAAATATCTAATACTCTAGATATACGTGAAAGATTTACTCGTCCGGGTGTAGTTGTGTCCCAAGAAAGAGCTCGTGTATCCTCTAACGTCAACCCTGAGTCAGCGATTTCACGCGAGGTAAACTCAAAAGCTGAAGAATACTTTAAAAAGTGGAGATGTCCACATACTTTTCGACAATCCCAGAGGCGAGACCGTCAAAACGTCGCGCAGACCCATGCCTATGAAGAATACACAAACAGGTCAATGCATACTGCAACGCGGGAAAACAGCATTAACCAATCACCAAATGAAATCAACGCGAAATAGATAAAACGGAAATGTATAAATATACACGGGGAAAACAAAAAATGAATTGAATAGAAGGGTGTTATACGTAAATATACGAGCCAACCACCATTGGTATCATTTACAAAAAAAATTTTGAGTACAGAATCGTGACCTTTTAAAAACTCAAAATGTCTTTTCTAATAAATTGATAACACCCCAAGATATTTTATCTAATGAGTGAAGGCGCTTGGTAGGGCTTAATATACGCAAGCTTATTGTAGCGCCGCTAGACTTCCCACTATTTAGAAGAAGGCATGAAGCGAGACCAAATATATGTATTCCAATGTAAATAAAGGAAATAGGCCTGAGCTGAGCCCCTCCTCCCCTTTTGATCGACGACCTCGACGATCACATTGGTACACCTCCCGCACCATCCATCACAACATATTCGGTACTACAAGAAAGCACCCACGAGCCAACCGCGCCACTCGACAAACAACACGAAACTGAGGAACCGTACCTGGTCTCCTCGGCAAATTTAACTGGATCTGGTGTTACACTCGTTCTGACATCCTGCTGACCATCAATTGCTTCCAGGAGTAGGCAGTGTAACTCCGTTCTAAAACATATATGTTACAGGGAAAACGGGATGAGCCACTATCCCGTATGCAAGGAGAAGCGTAGTGTCATGTCCAACACCTATACACGCATTTTGTAGGGCAAATCCCGACACGAAACTTTTCCAGATAGTTTACGACGGTGTCGCTTCACTTCTTAATAACTTGTCTGTGGATCACGGGAATAAGGTGAAACCAAATGTACACGCCATCCTAAATCATTTCGTTGTGAAGCACTCGAGGATTCTCCGTCACCAAGGTAAATGCGCCTCCTTCAATTCACGTCCCCTTTTCGCCTG